TTTAGACTGAGCCGATTTCTTATAGTGACTGAGCTGAAGTGGCTTTCGGTTCATTTTTGTGACGCGCAGTTCCCGGAGACAGAGACGACAGATAAACTGTTTTTGTCGTTAGCAAAAGTTCGAATAAAACCCGACTTTAGAAAAATGCATAGGGCCACTCGGCGTGGTCTGCCAAAACACTTAATTATAAACTTCAATATTTCATTCAAAATAATCTCAAAACGCTTTGTGAAATTTTGAAAAGCCGTGCATGCATTAAGGCCACTTGAACTAATGAACAACTGAAACGCTGGTTTTGATTTTATTGTTTGTCGTTGTTTAAACGTGCTTGTTGCATATCTCTATTTTATATTTGATATGGTCTATTGGTGAAGTAGCCTATAGCATTGATTACTGTGGAGGGAGGGGTGTGGGGATTCAAATAATTCAGCAGAAGCAGGGATGTTTAGACCAGAAGGAAATCCCCGTCCCTCCTGGCAAATCACACTTTACTTAAAACCATGTTTTTAAAAACTCTAGGTTGTAGGGAATCAAAATAATAATAATAATAGGCCTAATAAAAAAAATATATATATATACTGTATATAGGCTATATATGTAAAATTACTTTTTTTACAGAACTGCTTTTAAAATTACGATTGGTAGCCTCGTACGATTGGTACAGATGCAACGTCGTTCTGTTCGATACTATTGTTCCTAGTGTAAAATGGAAATGCATGGTAATTTTATTTTATAAATATAACCAAAAAACTGTATGGTGTAACAGAGTTTTAGAGCTAGACAAATCTCTCTGCATTAATAAATATAAAATTTGCAGTAGACCATGTTTGATCGGGATTTGAACCCGTGTCATCTTGATGATCGAACCGTCAGTTCTACCGCTCGGCTATGAATTTTCTCACTGAGAAATGCCCAAACGTTTGTTTCTCACATGAGCGAGAAAACGTTTTCTCGTAAGCCAGTGAGTGTAGGCCTACTTTAGCCTACATGAATAAAAGTAGACCTTTTACAGTTTTAAAAGATGATATCTTATCTGTATGACCAACAATTACGCAGTAAGTTCTTTTAGCTGTTATGAGAAAAATAAATCCAAATGAACGCGCCGCCGCGTTTGTCAAACTCTAATTGAACATGCCAGAATAAAGCCAGATTTTAGAATAATGCATAGCCACTCGGCGTGGTGTGCCAAAATACCCTAATTATAAACTTCAATATTTCATTCAAAACCATCTCAAAACGCTTTGTGACATTTTAAAAAGCCGTGAATGTATTAAGGCCACTGGAACCAGGATCGTAACTGAAACGCGCTGCATGTCTCAATACAGGAAGCGCTGGTTCAGATTGTATTGTTTGTTGTTTAAACGTGCATGTTGCATATTTAAAAATATTTGTTTAAAAATAAATGTTTGTTGTAGGCTTATTTGTAAATTACCATAACTTGTAGAATTTCATCCTTACTGTTAATTGACATTAGCCCCACTTACGTTTTGATAAATGTCCCTTTGCGCCACCTGGCGGTCATTTCGCGAGCGACTTTGAAATGCGACTGGTTTATTTTTATTGTATTGGTCTACTTTAAAAAATAATACTTTATAAGACATTTATGGGAAAATACTATTTTCTTTTCAAGATGTTTCCAACTGTAACTTTGAACCAATTCTGTAGAATGGCCCATATAGCATTTGACCAGGATTTGTTTCCAGGTATGACTAAAAATGTGCTTCTGGCTTTCATTTATATTTTGATTGTTTGTATATATATATATATATATATATATATATATATATATATATATATATATATATATGTGTGTGTGTGTGTGTGTGTGTATATATATATATATATATATATATATATATATACATGTAGGCTATATATATATACAAGAAAGAATGCAATGACAATATATATATATATATATATATATATATATATATATATATATATATATATATATATATATACACATGTAGGCTATATATATATATACAAGAAAGAATGCAATGACAATATATATATATATTGTCCTTACATTCTTTCTTGTGTGACACCCCTGAATGAAAGGCTCATTATTATGCAGGGTCACTGTCTGAGAACCACTTAATTATTCATGATAGGGGTTGGGCCGTTCCGCCCATCCGCATATTGCCTTGGCAAACAAAAAAAGGTTTTTCACAATTTAAAACAATCTATTGTTTTATGTGAATGATTAGGAAGAATGATTTTCAGATCATTTTGAAGCAAAAACTCTAGGCAACAACGTACATTAGTCAAAAGTCTTGTGGACTCATATTTAGTATGTTTTTTGTGTCCTTATTTCAAAAACTTTATTTTTTAGTTTTTTCAATAACCACGCATAAACAATATTCTCTCAAAAATACAAACATGTACATACATGTTGCTCACACATTATGGTAGACCTGTTTGTGCTAAATAGAGTTTAATTTCACCTGTGCCATTAATATGTTTATAAGCAACTGAAAAAAGCACAAATGTCAGAGCAAGTCAAAACATCCAAAGGGCCCCAAAAACACTCTGGTCCCCAGAGGGTTAAGATTGTATGTTTGGTAATTGAACCTAAATAAATTTAAAATTAATGTTCTATATTTCAGATCAATATATTTGTTTTCCTTCATTTTAATCAACACTAACTTTATTCTCATCTGAATTATAAATAACTTATTTCTGTATAAAATAAAAAATCCCCAATAATCCAGACCAACCAGAGCGCACTATTTCTACAACATCATCAGTGCTGAAGCGGAACTACCAGAGCCGTTTGGCAGATAGCGAGCAGATATTTTGTGTCACGTCGTGCACAATAACCCTAAAGGCACCAGGGTGGCGGTGCCACCGGCTTTTTATATATATATATATATATATATATATATATATATATAAATATAGCTGCGAGCAGCGATGAAGGGCCAAAGCCGGCGGCACCGCCACCCCGGTGCCTTTAGGTAACTAAAGGCACCGGGGTTGCGGTGCCACCGGCTTGGGCCCGTAATCGCTGCTCGCAGCTATATTTATTTTTTATTTTTTTTTTATAATTTCTTTATATCAATATTCAACGTTTTATGTTTAAAACATTATTTCTGCATTTGTAACTGCAGGTTAAATGCATTCCTGTCCCTCTGAGCTGCATTAAACAGTGTGTAAATCCATCTAAAGCCACTTCAGATGCAGCAAAGATTAGTTTTGTTGATACTGATTACATTTGATTGTAACAGCCCTATTATGTCTTATTATTCTAATAGAATCTATTGATTAAATGAAAGAATTTGACACAAATGATGATGCATACATTTAATTTAGTTAAAAAGGGCTTTATAAAGTTAAAAATGCCTACAAAAAGGTAGAAATCAATTTAAACTTATTGTAAAAGATAATTTCTGTCACTTGTGCGAACTAACCACCGCACAAAATATGAAGAACATCACAAACTCAGCCCAAAACCTGCCAAGGTACCAAAACAATAACACACCCTGAATTACCGTTATCGAAAAAATCCCTGAAAATGTCGAAATATAATTTTTTGTCAATATCGCACACCCTAGTAGTCGATATAGTGGCGCTTTCACCCCTACAGCACGAGCTCCAGTCATCAGCCGTTCTTTAACCTTCATTTATTGGCCACGAAATATCACCTTTGGAGCTTAAGCGGCGTGTTTCTTCACGAGTGAGAGATGAACAGCTTGTGTGTGTGTGTGACGACAGGTTTAACTGTTAACGGAGGCTGTTCGTGTGGAATGAAAACTGCTGACGTGTCTGTGTGTGTGATCTAGATTATAGAGGAAAACACCGCAGCCAGACAGTCTGCCATAGAAAGCATGAGTTGATTCAACGGTCTTGACCACATCGTTCAGTAGTGTGACCGTTTCTCAGCTGTTTTCATAATAGTGTGGCTTTCCCAGTAACTAACCAGATACTTTTTCTAACAAGAAGCAACAAAACCAGGCTGTTTTTTCTCTCATTGCGTACAGTTTTATGGTCAAACTTCGGCAAAAATCATCTCAACTCGTTCTCGCTCTCATTCTAAAGAACACCGGAGGGTCTGATTCATTTTAGTGAATCATTTAATTGATTCTTTTCACACACACTGAATCATTTCAGCCCCTGCTCACCATTTTATGTGCATCAAAATAATTTGTCAATCACTGTTATCAAGTTACATTTAGAGGGTTTGTAGGATTTTTCTTATTCAGAAATTAATACTTTTATTTAGCAAGGATGCATTCAATTGATGAAAAGTAATATAGTTTTACAAAAGATTTCTATTTCAAATAAATACTGTTCTTTTGAACTTTCTATTCATCAAAGAATCCTGAAAAATAAAATATGTAATGGTTTCCATGAACATATGAAGCAGCAGAAACTGTTTTTAACATTAATAATAATCATAATTGTTGCCATGTGACACTGAAGACTGGAGTAATGATGCTGAAAATTCAGCTTTGATCACAGGAATAGATTATATTTTACTAAATATTCTTTTCTGTATTTTTAATCCATCATTGGGGAGCGTAAATATATTCTCCCTCTAAATAGTTTGTGTAGTTAACTACTTTTGTTTCAAACTGAGATCACGATTCTCCAAAATAACATGTAATTTACTTAGACTGCAGCAACTAACATTGTGTCAGAACTTTATTTAAAATGAATTATTTAAACATTATAAGAGTGAATGATTCAGTGACTCACTCATGAAGTCTCTACTTGTTTCATCGCTGGACGAATCTGTGTTTTTGAACAAATCTCTTGAATGAATGATTCAATGACAGATACATGTTAACAGTCACTTGTCTCCCCCTACTGGTGTAACGGTGTAATAAATATAATCGTTATGTGAAGCGCCAAGTTACTTTCAAAAAGTGATTAGCTCTATTATGATCGCTACCATATAGATCAGTGTTTATTTCCAAACTATAAACTTTTATCCCAGTACTTTCTGCGATAACACCCGCCTCTGTGTGTGTGTGTGTGTTTCCTGTATGCAGGAGGAAGTGGAGCCGTTCCCAGAAGAGAAAGACAACTTCCAACAGCAGCTTTACAAATTTATGGAGGATAGAGGTGAGACGTGTCAGTGTTTAGTATTATTCGTATACTATTGTAGTATTTTAATGGTTTGCATTATTTTTACATTTTCAGTTTTCATTGTAATTGTAATATTTTAGTAACTCAGTATTTTATGTGCTTTTGTTATTTTTATAAAATGTGTATATTTCTGTATAGCGTTATTTATTTTAAAAAAAATGTTTTAGTAATTTTATTACTTCAACTTTAAATCAAGGCAACGTTTTTGTTTAAGTTTTTAACCTAATATAAATATTTTATTTCAGCTTTATTTCAATAACAGAAATTGATTATGATTAGTTTTAGGGTATGTTTACACAACAACTATGTACTAAAAAATGGAAACGTTTTTTGTTTGCGTTTTTCATGTACAGACGACAACATTGTCAAAATGATCCCGTTCACACGGATCCGCGAAACGACTAAAAGCGCTGCGTTCTGCTGCCAGGCCAGGAGATGGCGATGTCACTTTGTAAAGAAACACTACGCTCCTTTTTTTTAAAAAAATTTATATTTATTTTTTATTTTTTTATTTTTTATTAAATAAACACTACGCTCTTATAGACAGAACATGTAATGCGCATGATGTCACCGGTTTCACAAATTCGTGTTTTTGTAGTCAGTTCTCGTACAAGGTGCTTGAAGTTGACTTTTAGAAATGTTAGTCCTTGAAAACCCATAATTATAAAAAGGTACTTGAAAATGCTTGAATTATTGAAAGACAACAGGCTATATTAGAAAATAGTGTTTCATTTTATTGATAAAATATTATTTTCACATGGATATGGAGCCATTTCACATGGCTATAAGCATGATATTGCTCATATAAATATTCAAGTATATGATACAGATTACATTATTCTGATCAATCATATATTCATGGGAGAAAAAATCAGTTTGAATAAGAAAAGCGATATCTTTGTCGTAGTATCCTTTAAATGGTTAAAGTTACCGCAGTCATTGCTTGTGCTGCACTTTATTTGTACCATTTAGTTTTTTTATTTTATCTACTTACCTTTTATAGAATTTGAAAGATAATAAAGATATTGTTTTATATGTGAAATAATCATCTGGAATTTCATTTTACAGTATCTGTCTGAACTAGGGGTGTAACGGTACAGCAGTGTTAATTTTGACAGCAAATTTTGATTTAGTTTTAGTCTTAGTCTTTTGACTAAAATGCCATTTGGTTTTAGTCATATTTTAGTCATCTGAATTGTTTTATTTTTAGTCTAGTTTTAGTCGACGAAATACAATAAGATTTTAGTCGACTAAATCTACAGTAGATTTAGTCGACTAAAATCGAATGGGTTTAGTTAAATTGTGCATTAATTTAGAATTTATCTAAAATGTATCTAATTTATCTAAAATGTATCTAAAATTTCCAAACCCATTATATATTCCCCTAGAAAACATATATTAACCTGTTAATATGAATAGAATATGAATGACATAAAATAATATCTTAAAATTAAATAAAAACACTTCTAAAGTAGAACAGTCTTTTTTTCTTCTTAATTCAATGGATGATTATGATGATATTTAGCAGACATATTTATTTGTATAAATTAAATATTATTAAATCTTATTAAATATATTAAAGAGCAGTGAATGCTTTTCACTTTTTATTATTTTGTTTGATTAATATTAAGTGTACAGACGGCATTAGGTTTATTACGCACTGTCACTTTAAGACCGAGTGTGCAGATCCAATTGCACTGATGCACATCCGATATTCTCACAACTGTACGTTCTGTATAGACATAAACGACTGTGTTTACATGAATACTTTCCAAAACGGACGTTTAGACGTGTGTATTTGTCCATTCAGACGCGAAATAGAGCTCAATTCAGTCCTCGCGCGCTGTATAGCTGTCTATGGGGCTGCACGCTTTGGGTCGGGTCGGGTGTGTGTGTGCGCACAGAAAAACATACCGAATAAAGCTCTCTTTCGCGTCGTCACTCTTATTTAGATCTATCCATATGTTTGATCTTCTCTTTCTTCCAGACGTTTACATTTTTGAACGATTTATGAGACATGCATCAAGCGCATGCCAATTCCAGTCCCGCCTGTAGATCAGCACGTTATTCAAATGTGAGCATCTTCCACAAACGCAAATCAGTTCTGAATGGATCTCTTTCCAATCGTCCCTCCCTAACATTTTCGTCTAGTTTTTATTTGTTGACGAAAATGTCAATACATTTCGTCATAGTTGTCGTCATTTAAAACTGGTTTTTATTTAGTTATCGTCTCGTTTTCGTCTGTGAAAAAATGTCGTTGACGAAAATAATGACGAAAATTATTCGTCAACGAAATTAACACTGCGGTACAGGTATTCGTATTGAACCGTTTCGGTGCGAGGCTTGCGGTTCGGTACGCATACAAACTGAACGATTCCTTGGACCATTTTTCCCGCCGGCAAAATTCGCGCTGGCGCGACCACCACAACGTTGCGCAACATCAAATGGCAAACGGAACGAAACTGCGCTACTCATTATGTGCTCCAGTAAAGAAAGATCCAGTGAAGAAAACATTTGAATCCGCCACTGAAGTAATAACAGCACTGCGAGATCTAGTGAAGCATTCACATTTCTCCGTTATTAACCGTAGATCTCTATTAGATCAAACAGCGCTGACGTGGAAACCAGGAGAAACATTGTGCCGTGAATGAACTAGTAATACTTTATGTCCACAGATCAGCAACATTCACCATGGATTTAATATAGTAACACTAACTGTAACCAGTTTGGCTGGAATAGTGAATTCCTTTCAAGTACTTCACACATCTTTATCCAGCACTCCAAAACTCAAATATTATATAAATAAATATATGAAGAGTTCAGATGCAAAAGCCTCTAAGTGCCATTTGAAATTTTCTTCATTTTTATGAAGCTTGTATATTTAAGTTCAGTAATTTCACTCAAATGACAATTATTAGGTAATCTTCATTGCCATTTAAGTGAAATTACTGAAACTTAAATATACAAGCTTGATAAAAATGATCATTCTAGAAGAAAATTTCAAATGGCTTTTGCATCTGAACTCTTCATATATTTAAATGTTATTTTTAATGTGATGACCAACACATTATTTGTTCATCCTTCAAAGATGACCCCCATTTATAAACCTGAAAGCTTCAAGATGTAGGAAAACTCACACTTATTTCAAAAATATTTTTTCTTTTAACAAATAGGAAATTTCTTTGGCATTTCTTACTTTTTGCTGTATCGAAAACGTACCGAACCGTGACTTTAAAACCGATGTACGTACCGAACCGTGATTTTTGTGTACCGTTAAAACACCCCTAGTCTGAACCCTGTGTGTTTTACACGGAGACGATAACGGGATCATTTAAAAAACGTGCGCTTTGAAATACGTTTTCAGGCCGTTGTCGTGTAAATGAATGCATAAAAGTTTTCCGCTTTTGCTTGAAAACACTGTCGTGTAACCGGCCTCTATAGTTAGCAGTAACAACACTGGAGGTCGTCATCCACTTGACCATTTTTTGTTGTATCTTTTTTTTTTCAAGTCGCTTCAAATGCATTAAAGGGATAGTTCGGCCAAAAATGATATTTAACCCATGCATTACTCACCCTCAAGCCGTTCGAGATGCATATGTCAATCTTGTTTCAGACGAACACATTTTCAGTTATTTTAGAAAATGTCTTAGACCCTTCAGTGGATATAATGTGAAGCAATGGGGTCCACCTCCTTCAAGTCCCAAAATGTGCATATATCCTTCACAGAAGTAATCCATCCGGCTCCAGGGGGATAAACGAAGGCCTTCTGAGGGTAATCCGTGCGGTTTTGTCATAAAAATATACATATTTAAAACTTTATAAATGAAAATATCTGACTTCCGGCAACGATCGACGCGCGTTCACGGGTGATGGAAGTCGGCGTACGAGGTATGACGTAGCGTAGGAACCGTCGTGACGTAGAACGAACGCGCCTGCGCAGCCAGAGAGCAGAGCAAAACAAAACTCCACTCAGTTCACCCGTGAACGCGCGTCGATCGTTGCCGGAAGTCAGATATTTTCATTTATAAAGTTTTAAATATGTATATTTTTATGACAAAACCGCACGGATTACCCTCATAAGGCCTTCGTTTATCCCCCCGGAGCCGGATGGATTACTTCTGTGAAGGATGTATGCACATTTTGGGACTTGAAGGAGGTGGACCCCATTGCTTCACATTATATCCACTGAAGGGTCTAAGACATTTTCTAAAATAACTGAAAATCTGTTCGTCTGAAACAAGATTGACATATGCATCTCGAACGGCTTGAGGGTGAGTAATGCATGTGTTAAATATCATTTTTGGCCGAACTATCCCTTTAAAGGAGTAGTTCACTTTTAAAAAAAACTTTTGCTGATAATTTACTCACCCCCATGTCATCCAAGATGTCCATGTCTTTCTTTCTTCAGTCGAAAAGAAATTAAGGTTTTTGATGAAAACATTCCAGGATTTTTCTCCATATAATGCACTTTGCTGGGCACCAAACGGTTCAAGGTCCAAAAGACAGTTTCAGTGCAAACTGCAAACTGTTCAAAGGGCTTTAAACGATTCCAGACGATGAATAAGGGTCTTATCAAGCGAAACGATCGCTCATTTAAAAAAGAAATAATAAAGTTTAAGTTTTATAAGCTCAAATGCTCGCCTTGCTCTGTTCTGTGATGCACGTTTGTGACTCTCCTGTTCGAACTCGTTCATCAAAATGAACAAATCTTTTTTTGAGTCATTTGATTCATTTAACGACCGAAATGAACAAATTGACTCGGAAAAAGATTTGTTCATTTTGATGAACGAGTTCGAACAGGAGAGTCACACAGAACAGAGCAAGGCGGGCATGTGAGCTTATAAAACTTAAACGTTGTTATTTATTTTTTAAATGAGCGATCGTTTCGCTTGATAAGACCCTTATTCATCGTCTGGTGTCGTTTAAAGCCCTTTGAACAGTTTGCAGTTTGCACTGAAACTGTCTTTTGGACCTTGAACCGTTTGGCTACCATTGAAGTCCATTATATGGAGAAAAATCCTGGAATGTTTTCATCAAAAACCTTAATTTCTTTTCGACTGAAGAAAGAAAGACATGGACATCTTGGATGACATGGGGGTGAGTAAATTATCAGCAAAAGTTTTTTTAAAAGTGAACTACTCCTTTAATGCAAATGTTTGTATTTTACTTTGAAACTCACACTAACTAGCTTCTTTTCGTTTTTTCCAGGAACTCCTATCAATAAACGCCCCGTGCTGGGCTACAAGAATCTGAATCTTTTTCAACTCTACCGGCTGGTGCACAAGCTCGGAGGATTCGACAGTGTGAGTTGTGTTTCTGATGGCCAAACGTGTCTGCATTAGCTTCCACTCGCTGAGCAGAACGTGTTCCCTCGCTGTGTTTCAGATCGAGAGCGGGTCCGTCTGGAAGCAGGTGTATCAGGATCTGGGCATCCCTGTGCTCAACTCCGCAGCCGGTTACAACGTCAAGTGTGCCTACAGGAAGTACGTGCATCTTTGCCTTCAGGATGACAGTGACAGCAAACATGAGTTGTTCGGCTGTGGCATTTCAAACGTTAGTGCTTTAGAGAGCAAGCGCTGTATTCACCGGTTCAGTCTGTTACTCTCTCATTCTTCTGAGGTGATGACAGAAGCGTATGGTGAACGGTTGTAAACATCAGAACCCATAGTGCCTCAGGCTGTTCAGTTTCATCCTCAGTTAAACGGTCAAAGTTTAGAATAAATTAGACTTTTAAATGTTTTTTTAAAGTTGTCTCATGCTCAACAAGATCAAAAAAGCAGTAAAATTGTGAAATATTATTCCAATGTAAATCAGCTGTTTTCTATGTGAATATATAGTAAAGTGTAATTTATTCCTGTGATCAAAGCTGTATTTTCAGCATCATTACTCCAGTCTTCAGTGTCACATGATCCTTCAGAAATCACTCTAATATGCTCAAGAAACATATATGATTATGATTAATGTTGACAACAGTTGTGTTGCTGCTTCAGATTTGTGTGGAAACCGTGATACATTAACATTCAAAAGTTTGCATTAAGATTTAAAAAAATTATATTTAAATATATTATTTTATTCTGCGTGGATGCATTAAATCATAAGTGACATTTAAATAAATGTAAAGTTTTACAACTATTTTTTATTTCAAATAAATTCCATTCTTTTGGAAATTTCTATTCATCAAAGAATCCTAAAAAATTGTGAAAGTGGCTGGAACCGTTTTCAACATTTACTATTAATGGGAAACATTATTAATAAATGAGCACCTGTTATAATTGAGCAGCATATTAGAGTGGTTTCTGAAGGATCATGTGACACTGAAGACTGGAGTAATGATGCTGAAAATACAGCTTTGATCACAGGAATAAATTACACTTTATTATTAGGGCCGGGACTCGATTAAAAAAAAAAATCTAATTAATTAGAGGCTTTGTAATTAATTAATCGAAATTAATCGCATTTTAATTGCATAAATATTTGACCTGAGAACAGTGAGAAGTATTTTTTTTTTCACATGGATTTTCAGTATACTATTGAATAATGACTGAATACATAAGCTTAATCAACAACATAGTTTATTTTTGTTCAACCAAGTCCAGCAGACCAGTGCAATTTTTGCCATTAAGTGTCCAGCAGACCAGGACAATTTTTGCCATTAAGTGTAGTAGCATATTGCTACACTACACTAATAGCAATAGCGAATCTCGATCTCGTCAGCTTCTTCATCATGAACGCTAGTTGGTGCGCCAGTATAATCGGTCCGCCGAAACTCATCCAGTGAGAAACGTTCCGCGGTGCAAAACTAAGTGTGATTAAAATAATTTGTGTAATTAATTAACGCGTTAAAGTCTGTAATTAATTAATCTTAATTAACGCGTTAAAGTCCCGGCCCTATTTATTATATATTCACATAGAAAACAGTTATTTTAAATTGTTCTAATGTTTCACAATATGTCTGTTTCACTGTATTTTGGACCAAATAAATATTAGCTTTGATCATTGGATGTAGTATCCTGTCAAATGTGTATGGATAACTGTTGCTGATCCTCCTGCAGATACCTGTATGGCTTTGAGGACTACTGCACCTCCACAGGGATCACCTTCCGCATGGATCTGCCGTATAAAACGGGTGAGAAGACGAGTGGGAAGAGTGAGGAGAACACTGAGGAAACAGTCAGCGGAGGAACCAGTGTCTCTTCAAGCACAGAAGAAGAGCAGAAAGCCCTCAAAGAACCAGAGACCTCCAACACACAGCATGTGCTCAAGGTACTAAACATCATCTCAGGGGTTTTCTGCTGTGGCATACTACTCATATTACTCATGCTACCCATACTAATACTACTCATACTAATACTACTACCCATACTAATACTACTACCCATACTAATACTACTCCTATTACTCATGCTACCCATACTAATACTACTCATATTACTCATACTACCCATACTAATACTACTCATACTAATACTACTCATAGTACTCATACTACCCATACTAATACTACTCATACTAATACTACTCATACTACCCATACTAATACTACTCATATTACTCATACTACTCATAATACTACTCATACTAATACTACTCATATTACTCATGCTACCCATACTAATACTACTCATACTACCCATACTAATACTACTCATTCTAATATTACTCATGCTACCCATACTAATACTACTCATACTACCCATACTAATATTATCATATTACTAATACTAATACTACTCATACTACTCATACAATTAATATTACTCATACTACCCATACTAATACTACTCATACTAATACTACTCATACTACCCACAATAATACTACTCATACTAATACTACTCATAATACTCGTACTACTCATACTAATACTACTCATACTAATACTACTCATACTAATACTACTCATACTACCCATACTAATACTACTCATACTACCCATACTAATACTACTCATACTAATACTACTTAAATTACTCATGCTACCCATACTAATACTACTCATACTAATACTACCCATACTAATACTATTCATATTACTCATGCTACCCATACTAATACTACTCATACTAATACTACTCATATTACTCATACTAATACTACTCATACTAATACTACTCATGCTACCCATACTAATACTACTCATATTACTCACACTACCCATACTAATACTACTCATACTAATACTACTCATACTACCCACACTCATACTACTCATACTAATACTACTCATATTACTCATACTACCCACACTCATACTAATACTACTCATACAACCATACTAATACTACCCACACTTATACTACTCATACTACCCACACTCATACTACTCATACTAATACTACTCATACTACCACTACCCATACTAATACTACTCATACTACCACTACCCATACTAATACTACTCATACTACCCACACTCATACTACTCATACTACCCACACTCATACTACTCACACTCATACTACCCATACTAATACTACTCATACTACCCACACTCATACTACTCATACTACCCACACTCATACTACCCATACTAATACTACTCATACTACCATACTAATACTACCCACACTTATACTACTCATACTAACACTACTCATACTACCCATACTAACACTACCCACACTCATACTACCATAGTCAAGTCAAGTCACCTTCATTTATATAGTGCTTTTAACAATATAGATTGTTTCAAAGCAGCTTTACAGTGATAATAGGAAATTAAAGTAAAATATTGTTTTGGCTTTACAGCAGCTCTAGAATAAAGTTATTGTCCAGCTAAAGTTTTGATTAATTTTTCCGTTGCAAAGATCATTAGTTATTAACTTAGGAGCCGCTAACACGACACCGTTCCAACAGAAAACCCTTAATGCGCTCCGACCCGCTCATTTGCATGACAACAGTGCCTGGTGGCTCGAGAACGCAAACATCGAAACAGGTTCCAAGGTGCAGGCGTTAAATAATTTTGACAAAAAGGTTATCTCCGCGCAAACTTTTTAGTCCGTATGTATAACAAACTACCTGGCCGTAAAGATTCATAATACAGATTTTTTTTTTTTTTTTGCAATTATTCCCAACTTTTGACCAGTAGTGTAAAAATGTGAATTTAATATATATATATATATTTTTTAATGATAATTGTACACTAATCTGTAGCTGTGGAAGCATGTGTAAAAATGATTTGTTTTTATTGATCGTGTGAAAATTTAATGATCAGTTTTGATGATGTCTCCCTTTTTGTGCTGATCAATACTCCTGTTTTTTTATAACATGTTTATTTGATAATTATCTAAAACATATTGCCACCATGTTTTTAGGAACTTTATAGTGTGATTTAATACTTTCACTAGCTGCTGATAGGCAGTGTACAGTACATACTGTACAGTAAACTAGTATTGACTTTGAAAGACATTAGACAAACAGCTGTGTATTTTGTCTCTCAGCAGGATCGTCTGACCTCATGTTTATTTATAAGTCATGCTTTTCCCCCCCCCCCCCCCCCCAGCACAAGCTGCTGAAACGAAAACACTAATGCATTTACAAATGTAGCTAAATCATAGTTTAATTAGGGTCAAATCATATTAATTGCAAGATTATAACGGTGAGGGTGACGTGTTGTTTCTCCTCAGGAGGAGAAGACCGAAACCACGGCACCAGGTGAAGATAAAGCGGATATCAGCAGCGTGAATGAGGAGGAGGATGATGATGATGATGATAACCACGCTGATGAAGAGGAGAATGATATAAACGAAGAGGCCAAAGAGTGCGGACCGACAGCGGAGAGTAACGTCACCGAGAGCGTGAAGGAGGAGCCGTGTGAGGAACCCGACAGCAAAGATCTGTCAGGGTAGGTGTATCTTCATCTCTGAGCTTCAGTGCATGGCTCTGTGGATCTCTAAAGGAGAATCTCATGGAAAAGAGAGAGAGAGAGAGAGAAACGGAGACAAAAACGAGATGTGCTTCGAGAATGATGCATGATAGACGAATTTGGGAGAAACGGTCAAAAAGTGAGATCATGAAAGCACTTATAATGGTGTTTTGTGGAAACATTTGACTGATTTTGATGGTGGATGTTGCTGTAGTTTCTCTCTGGTTGAGTCTCATGTCACTCGCCCGCTTATTGAAACTGCATGTTGGCCGAAGCGTGTGCCTTTTTAGCTTGCTTTCTCTCTCTCTCTCACTCACACACACCCTTTTTCCATCTTATCTTGAACCATCCCACACGTCTCCAGCAAAAAAGGCCTCCGTTCTAATTTTCGCTGCACTTTTTATTTTTCCCGTCTGTTGGAAATAAGAATATTTAAATGATCAATGCGTGAATTGCTGTGAATTTCATTTGTTAGATATTTTATTAATTCTTGACTGTTATATCACCGCCAGCTGGTGATGGAATAAAGCTAAAGTTCAATATCTTTAAAATAAGTAAAATACCACAATGTATTGTGTGTTTGTGAGCAGGTTACATAGTCAATTATGTCATCATACGCCATCTTTCAAAAGTTTGGCTTTCAAAAATAGTTAAAAATTGTGCAATATTATTAGAATTTCAAATAACTGGTTTCTATGTGAATATATAGTAAAATGTCATTTATTCCTGTGAGGAAAGCTGAATATTCAGCATCATTACTCCAGTCTTCAGTGTCACATGATCCTTCAGAAATCATTATGATCTCATGATTTGATGCTCAAGCATCATTTCTGATTATTGTCAATGTTGAAAACAGTTGTGCTGCTTCATATTTTTGTGGATACATTTTGTTCAGGATTCTGTAATGAATAGAAAGTTTAAAAGAACAGAATTTATTTGAAACCGAAATTTTTGTAACATTATAGTACCTTTTTACAGTCACTTTTGGAAAAATTAAATGCATCCTTGCTGAGTAAAACCTGTAGCTGATTATGAGTCAGCAGAAGTCAAGTTTGAGTTATTCCGGCACCGTTTTTGTGGGAAAATGATCTCTTCGGATCTGTGAGTTTTGGGTGTTAAGTGTTGTCTTGAACTATTCAGGTGTGACTTTGAAGCTCAGTTGAGCGATGGACTGACTAGTTCAGCTCTTCCACTGCTTCCCAAGTGTTTCCCGACGCTTCCCGCTCTCTCATATCATGCCTTTAGTGTTCTGCTGTGTTGTTGTGTGGATGAGAACAGACCCTGATGCTGAGATCATGTCGAGCCTTGTGCCTGGGTAGGGTTGGGAATCGAGAAGCCGTTCTGTTCCGCTAAAAAGCTTTATTTTCATGACTTTATAATAATTGGTTCTTGATCTCATAAGCAATGGGATTGATTTAGTCTAAGGAACTGCTCACTGTTTAGTCATGTTGAACTCAAAATTCTAAATGTCATCATTAATGAACGGAACTAAAAATGGAATCAGAATTGTTACATTTCAAACGATTCCCACCTCTACACGTCAGTCCCTGAACTAAATCTGGTTGCATTGTCTCTAATTTGAAGCATTTGGATGCACATGCGTTTTTGAGATTAAACTGCCTAACTAATCTCCTTCATGTAGCAGTGATCTGATTATTTAGCTGTTTTTTTATAGATGCTTTTTTGCTGCCGTTTCAACGGTCATCCTGCAGTGTTGGTTTTCCAATGATGCTTTTCCCCTTCATTTTCTGTATTGAATCAATAACTATGTGGAACCAGGGTCCTGCCTAGTACCAGCTCAGTTGTTGCATCACTAGTTGAAGGTTGTCTGCTGCTAACTAACCAGGGTTGTTTCTCGGTTGAACTTTGTGAAGTGATTTCAGTGGTAGAGTTCAGTGTGCTATAACTGTCTAACGTGGCTTCCTCTCTGCTCTCTAACGTGATTGTGATTTGCCCCTTTGCTGAGCTTCGCTGTGCCCCTCTTGCTGCACTTTGACCCTTTCCTTGTCACACACACACACACACACATCTTGAACTCAAGTTCAAAGTCACATTTGAAATATCTTCTAGTTAGAAAAATCCTTACTCGCCCTCATGTTGGTCTAAACCTGTATGACTGTATTTGTTCAGTGAAACACTAAAGGAGACGTTTAGCAGAATGTTCATATAATGACCACAGGCTGTCAAGCTCCAAAAAAGATTTAAAAACAATATTCAAATTTCCATAAAAGTAGCAATTCTTTTCAGGTTTTTGTTGATTAGCATTGGTGGTTAGTAGATGGCATTACCACACCATGCATCTTTCACTCCATTCACTGCCATTTAAACATGGTTGTGTATTCTGGGAAAATCACTTTTTGTAAGTACAAATCACTTTAATATTTTTTTGTTATATTATTATTGTAGATGTTTTACTTAAATATGTATTATTTTTTACATATTTATATATATATATATAATGTAAGAATTGTCATAGATTCACTAGTATTCACTCAGTGATTTATTTTTTTATCATATTTGTTACATTTATTGAATATATACTGTACATTATTCATATATTATACAGAATAAAACATGATAAAAAATTATGAAAATAATGAATTGTTTTATTCTAGTCAAACATGTACATTTATATATATATATAATATGAAACAATCTAAATAAAGATATAAATTATGTAACATGTATAAAAATTACTGTAGAAGTTTCACTAGAATCCAATTTTTATCAAATTTATATACTGTATATTATAAATTATATTATTTTATAGAACTTAGAATGGACAAAAAAGAATTAAAATAATGAATAATGAATAAAAAAATAATAGTTTTATGTAAGTGAATTATGTACATTTTATATATATATATATATATATATATATACTGTTATGATAAATATACATTTTATTAAATATATTTTTCTATAAGGATATAAATAAATGTATATTATATATATGAAATTTATAACTTTTTTTCTTTTTTTATCTTTTTTCTTTTTTTATGTGTATATATATAGTATTATATTATTATTATTATAAATTATATTATTATTTTTTATAGAACTTTATTTTCTCTATCTGCTGTCTTTGACATTATAGCTCATGATAGTCAGCAGTGAAGGGGTTGAGACTGTCTTCTTTAAGTGCCGTTAGCCGTCCAATCAGTGATGTCCTTTTCCTAGAGCTGTAGAGTCATTTGTCACATGACGCTCACAGTTCAGGTTAAAAAGATGTCAGTGTCCAGTACCCATGAGCAAAGATGCTGGTTGTGCATTTCCAGCAGACCAACAGCTTTTGAGATGAATGGCAATGCAGACGGAGAGTTGTCTTTATCCAGATATTATAGATGTATTTGATATTCCAAGTTTTCCGCGTATATCATAAATCATCCAAGTTGGACTGCAGAGAGTATGACAAAATAGTATGGCTTCAGAATACTTGGATTGGGCATGTTTATTTATTTCAGTCCTTTTTGGTGCTTGACAGCCAATGCTTTCATTATATGGAGAGAGCAGCTTGAGATTCTTCAAATGGAAGAAGAAACACAGGTTTCATGAGGGTGAGTAAATGATGACAGAAGATTCATGTTCGGGTGTTTAAAACGAATCAGGCAGTTTTAGACCAGCTTCTTTATATATTCCAGGTTGAGGTTCAGACAGCCGGCTGATGACCCCATAATGTCTTCCTCCGATGTTCAGGAGGAGTGTTAGACTTATCCGACAGGGAAAGATGAGGAAAGTTTAGATTTCAGAAGCATTAGGCTGAGAAAGCCAGATTTCAGGGTGGGTTTTTTGGGGAGGGCGGTTGTGGGAAAAGCCTAGGGCCAGGAAACGGGAAGTACTGAATTGTCTTTCTTGCAGGGATGTCAGCAGTCAGGAGTGGGAGGAAGGGGAGGAGTTTGAGTGTTACCCTCCTGGGATGAAGGTGCAGGTGAGGTATGGGCGAGGCCGAAATCTGAAGACGTACGAAGCCACTGTCAAAGAGTCAGACCTGGAGGGGGGAGAGGTGCTCTACCTGGTGCACTACTGTGGCTGGAACGTCAGGTAAGGCAGGACCCTGGGAACTCATGCCTCATTTGTTTGCATTTGCCAAAAAATTGGTAGCCCCAAGCAGATTATAGTCCTGGAGTTAGAAAGGCTGGTGCATGTGGAGTTTCTGTTGGCCAAAACCTGGAAACGAGCATTTTAGTGCTTGCGGTTCCATCGGCCTGAAGTCAGTCGATGGGTTTTTGAAAGGGTTAAAAGCCTGGAATAAGGTCTGTGGTGAACACAAGCTCTGTTGGTGTTTTCATGATTTATTCTACATCAAGTGTCTGTGTGGGACTACATATGTCGTCAGTGGCATTAAAAGGCTGCACTGCTTGTGTTTTTTAAACTCAAACTTTCAGGGGAAATGTTTTTTTAAGGAAGGACTGAAGGAGTTGGCGAAGCTTAATGGTGGTGAGGTTGAAGTCGTGCGACTGTGGTGAAGTTCGTTCATAGCTTTTTATTTTTGCAGATTGTATTTAGACTTCATTTGTGAAGATTATCATGATGAACAAAATGTGTAACTTTTGTTGGTCACAGTGCTTATAATCCAAAACCCAGTGGAAAAAATCTGTTGTGCTTTTGTCGAGGGAACCAGGGTGAGGCGAACGTACGGGTTGGCCTACAAAAATACATTATCACGGCAACGCTCTATTGCAGTTTGACGGACACGTCAAGTGACGAGCTTTTTTTTTTTGACATGTGGGAATTTGTTTAAATCACAATGCAGTGGATGCAAATTAGTAGGAAATGTGTGATCCAGATTTCTGCCCATGCAAAGGTTATTTCACTGCTGTAATTGATGCAGTTCTGCTTCTATTTTACTAATCAGTGCCTCAAAACTTTGAAAGATTTGATGCACTAATCTGGGAAACTTTGGCAGTCTTAGCAATTAGTGCTTGTAATGTGAAGCTGGTACTTTGTGCACACCGTGCTTTCTAGTTTTGTGTGCAACATGCATCAGTTGGACTGTGTGCGATCTGTTGTTTGTGTGTGTGTGTGTGTGTGTGTGTGTGTGTGTGTGTCTGAGGCCCTGTTTACACCTGTTATTAAGATGCGCTTTGGTCGATCGGATCGCAAGTGGACGACGCTAAATACAGGTGTAAACGGGGTCTAAAACGTTTTGAGCTGGTCCATTTTCTACCATTTCCAGAGGTAGTTGGAAACACATTCGACCGGATTGCTTTCGTAGTGTAAACGCTCATGTGATCGAATGTGTTCAAACAGACACAACAGACGCCTGATCTCTGACTACTGACCTAATGCGTAAACACTATGAAGTTTGGTTTGAAGATGAACTTGCGGCTGTCAGTGCAGAAACCAAAGCTGATGTTCTCCGTATGTTTTTCTGTTTTCTCCGGTCGGGTTCATGTGTAAAGATCTGAAGAAACCCATACATTTACCCTCCCATAGACCCTCCCCTGGAAGAAATCAGGACAGAAGTGGTTGAAAGTGGAGAAAAGGGGCGGATGGTGTAAACGTGAATGTGTCTCCCTCGTCTACTTGTGATTCGATCGACCAAAACGCATCTTGGATCTGGTTACAAAAACTCTTTGAGGCAGAGGAAGAACGTTGGTTGATTTTGGCACTTTACAGACTTTTTGGCTTCTTTTCAGTGCCTGAGAGGTTGGTCAGAGACTAATGGAGTGTGAAAGTACGGTGTCATTTACTGGACTGCAGTGACCCGTATCAGGAGGCGGATCACATGAACTCGGAGAGCGACCCGTTAGCGTTCCCATCATCTCATTGGCAGTTCTTCAGCCGCCATATGAAACTGGTGTTGCATGTTGCCATCTTTGCTCAGTTCTGGAGGTTTTTCCTTCGAGCTCTCATTGAAAGTGAAGGATTTCTGGGTGTTTTGCCTTTGCAAATTGTTGTTGGTATGAATAACCCTTGAGACTAGGACAGAGATCAATTATCAAGTTCTACTTCTCAGATTTGTGTCAGGTTTATTTGTGTTGTGTGGATATTTCTGATGTTTACAAGCACTGAGACTTGAAGCTAATTTCTTGCTGCTGACAAAAACAGAGCAGGACCTTCTGAACATCATGCCCATTTACATGGACACTTTTTTTTCTTTTTTTTTAATCGGATTGAAACTTTCCAGGTTCGGTTTTCAATCTGATCAAGTGTTTACATGTCCTCTCCATCGGATTAGAAACGGCTTAAACCACCACATACTATCCGAATTAAATTTCAATTCATTTTGTTTGACGTCGCTACATGTGATTTTCTTTTTCTTTTTTTCTTTTTTCAGACTGTGCTACTAGTCCGATTGCAAACGCATTATTGGGGTCCATGTAAATGCAGCTAATCTTTTATGTATACAGTGTGTTTATTCTCTTAATAGTGACTTTATATGTTGGAATTGTGTGTCTTGTACAATGTAATTTCTCATTATTTGGACATTGCACTTCCTTATTGCAACAAGACGCAGAGATTTATCAGTTTTGGTGGCGTATTAGTAAATGTTGACCAACTGTTTCTCTTAACAGGTATGACGAGTGGGTCAAAGCCGATAAGATTGTCAGACCAGCCAATAAGAACGTCCCTAAAATAAAGCACCGCAAAAAAATAAAGGTACAGTCAAGAAGATTTTCTGCTTTTTTTCTTATGAAATCAAGTCATGCGAGTTGAACACACTACCGTTGTGGGTCGCTAAATATAATAAAAAAATACAGTAATATTGTGAAATATTACAATTCATAATAACTGTTTTCTATTGTAATATATATATGTGTGTGTGTGTGTTTCCTAAGACTAGTGAATATATAGTAAAATGTCCTTTATTCCTGTGATCAAATCTGAATTTACAGCATCATTACTCCAGTCTTCAGTGTCACATGATCCTTCAGAAATCACTCTAATATGATGATTTGCTGCTCAAGAAGCATTTATGATTATTATCAATGTTAAACACAGTTGTGTTGCATCATATTTTTGTGGAAACCGTGATTATTAGAACAGCATTTATTTTGAAATAGAATCTTTTGTAACATTATAAATGTCTTTACTGTCACTTTTAATACAATTTATAGCATCCTTGCTGAATAAAAGTATGAATTTCATTCTTTAAAAAAAAATGGTACTGACCTCAGAATTAGCAGGATGTGTTCCTCATGTATATTCATATTTATAGTGGCTACAATCTTAATTTGCTCTCTTTGTTTAATGACAGAATAAAGCAGAGCGAGAAAGAGACCGAATAGAGAGACTGACGGACAGAGAGGACTTTCCTTTACCTAGAAATCGCATCAATCGGTTGTCGAATCCGAATTCTGGCAGTGATGTCTTCTCGAAGATGGAGGATTGTGGTGATGAACTAAACCAGCAGACGCCCGTCAAGCCCATCGAGATCACATCTATTCTCAACGGCCTCCCAGGTACCTTTACATTCACAGTAATTATGAGTCTTACATTTTTTTTAAAGTAAAGTGTGCAATTTTTCTATCCTAAAAACTCACTGTAAGTGAACCATTGGTCCTGACGGGTGACACAGTGATTTTGTGTGACTTCAAAAACATTGATCTGTTTGATTTAGCAGCCTGACATCTGTGTGTACAGACAATGGCGGAAGGAATAGTAATGGAGCGTTTGGAAAACATCTTTGGAAAAAGTCATTGTTCTTGCAATTCCATTTTGTGCAACTTGCACACTTCACCTGTAAAGGGGATGTCTAATGCTATTTCATGCATTCTGACTTATGGATTCTCATGCTAAACATGGCCAAAGTTTCAAAAAACTAGTTGGACTTATGATGGAGTATTATATTATTATTATATTTCTGTGCCAAATGCACTCCTTCAGGATTCTGATATGTTTCGGAAAGTGTTTTTCGAGTATGGCCCTCTATGACCTCTGTTTCCCATAGGCTCGGAAAGCTCCACAGATGACAGTGAACGAGAAGATGATGATGACGCTGATCATGACGAAGAGGATCATCCAGGAGGACGAGTGAGTCTTCGGAAAGGAGGTCCTCCAGAGCGCTCGCTTACACCACAGCACTGGGAAACCGGAAGCCCGTCTGAAGGCTTCAAAGCTCCCACAGTTGTCGACGAGGAACCCACCGTCCAGGAAAGCCCAGAATCGGGCAAGAGGAAGAGCCAGTTTGAGGTGGACGTGGAAGGATCCGGCGGAAGAAGAAAAAAAGCAGAAGTTCTAGGCGAACGCAGCTTGAAAAGCCCGGCGAAAGGCAAAACTAGAACCAGTAGAGGCAGCGATTGGCTACCAAGTAGTTCGCCGAAAAAGTTGGAAGAACGAGGTCCGTTGGAGGATCGAGGCGAAAGCAGTTCTGAAGACGAAGCGACTGAGCTTCAACCCAAGGAAATACCAAAAGGGCACCCGAAAACCAAGAGCTCGCCTTCGAAGAAATACAACGGCGTCAAGGAGAAGAATAAAAGCGGGTGTTCAGGATTCTGGGAAATCCCAGAGAAAAGAGCCAAAATATCCACAGGGATCGATGACAGGTCGCCCAGCTCTCGTACCAAAGGCCAGAAGGACGTTTGGTCCAGCATCCAAGTTCAATGGCCCAAGAAGATTTTAAAAGATCTGTTTTCAGACTCGGACACGGAGGCGGCGAACTCTCCTCCTCCTCCTCCTGCAGGAACCGTTTCAGACGAGCCGAGCGCCGAACCGGCCCGGGACAACGACGAAGAAGAGATCGCAGAGGAGAAGCTGCAGGAGAATCCCAGCAGTGGCACCAACTCGGTCCTCAACACGCCTCCGACGACTCCCGAGTCTCCGGCCAGAGCCGAAGGTCCCGCTGAGGTTCTGCCCGAGATCCGCGCGCCTTCGCTGCCCGCCAGTCCTCAACACGCCTCTTTACCCGAGGGACCCCTGATGGAGGAGCGGGCCGGGGGACGCAGCGAGTCCGACAGCAGCACGGTGGAGGTGGAGAGTTTAGGAGGAGAGATCCCGGAGATCCATCGGGAAGAGGAGGCGGGATCCCCTTCCAAGGCCTTCGACGGAAACCTGTCCTGCAACAGTAACAGCAACTGCAGTCTAACGCTCAGCAACAGCAGCCAGCAGGAGAGCGAGCAGAAAGCCAAAGGTGCGTGGAGAAACCATAACCATGATCGATAGAAGTTCATGCTTTTATTCAGCAAGGATGCATTCAATTCAGACCCGCTCTGTCCGTCAGTCTCTCTATTCGGTCTCTTTCTCGCGCCGCTTCATTCTGTCATTAAACAAAGACAGCAAATTAAGAGTGTAGCCCCTATGAATATTAATATACATGAAGAATAACTACACTGCCATTCAAAAGTCTGAGGTCAGTACGATTGTTTTTAGAAAGAAATTCATACTTTTACTAAGCAAGGATGCGTTAAATTGATTAAAAGTGACAGTAAAGACATTTATAATGTTACAAAAGATTTATATTTCAAATAAATGCTATAAAATAAAATCTCACAGTTTCCACAAAAATAAAATGAAGCCGTTTTCAACATTGATAATAATCATAAATGTTTCTTGAGCATCAGATCCTCATATTAGAGTGATTTCTGAAGGATCATGTGACACTGAAGACTGGAGTAATGATGCTGAAAATTCAGCTTTGATCACAGGAATAAATTACACTTTACTGTATATTCACATAGAAACAGCCGTTTTAAAATGTAATAATATTAATGTTAATATATCATAATATTAAAAGCAGATTGATATATGATAAAACAGCCACGTTGAACATTTAACATTTAAAAAATCTTAATGTTTCGACCCCAAACCTTTGAACTGTAGTGCCTATAAACAGATTATTATTTTTTATTTGATTTTATCTTACATTATAAAACTATTTCCTATTACATTACTTCTAAAATACTTCAGTAACAGTTAAGGTACAATAGGTTCCTTTTGTTAACATTAGTTAACTATATTTGTTATCAATGAAAAACACTTTTATTTATTTATTTGTCTAATTAAATGTTAATTTCAATATTAATACGATACAATTAAATACAATATTTACCAAGCAAATGTTGCATCTGTTATTATTCCTTAATTGACCTTAGCTAACATAAACTAACATGAACATTTGTTTTGTTATGAATTAATGTTAACAGATCAGTAGCAAATTATTGCTTATTGTTTGATAATGTTAGTTAAGGCTTTAACTAATGGGACATTATTGAAAAGTGTTACCAATACTTCAATATGGTTTAAAAAGATATTTTTTAAAATGTGATTAATTCGTCAAACCCTGCATTAATGCTTTGCGCCAAACTGGTTAGAAAGAGAGGAAGATCACTCGGTTTTGGAGCAAAGTTAGCAGATGTTCACACAGGACACGGTTTTGTATTTTGCGTCTCACACATGAATGCTGTGTAAAGAAAAATAACTTTTTTATAAAATAGTTTTTTTTCCTCATTCCACTGCCCAAACGCGAACCCTGTTCTGTGTTAATATGCTGTGAATATTATTTAAATGTTGACTAGTTGTTAGTGCACATTAGCCTGGGAAAACCCAGACAACTTCCGGCAAATTTAGATTTGCTCTGAAAGTTAGTCTGGCGAAGAGCTCATTCAAGCCCATTTCCAATCCGCCTAAATCACGGCACCAATCAGAAACGTCGGGACGGGCTTTACACGATGACGACAGCGCTGGGATTTTGAAGCAGATTTTGTAGCCTACATTACAAAGATGGATGCCGCCGTCGAACATCACTCGTTCCAATCAGCTATCGCGTCTGTTTTAAGCGTTTTGAACGTTTCCTTTTTGTTAAAAACCGAGCAAAGAACAACACTCGGAGATGTGTCTCCGCCGCTCTGCATACGTCATCTCCTTCATCGCTCTGATTGGGTTTAGGTCTATTCGCGACGTCCGTTGGCGACGCCCCTCTGGAAATGATTTGTCTATGACGCTTTGCCAGACCATAACTCTGTTACAACTGAGAATGGTCTGGTTTTAACCAGGCTAAGTGCACATTAAAAAATAAGTACAAAATCATTCCAAGAAATGCATTTCTAAATGTTTCTCTCCCGTCTCACAGCCTCGTCCAGTCAGAAGCGGCACAAAGAGTCTCAAGGCGGTGGAGCGTCAAAGAAACACAAGCGGAGTCATAAAAACCTGAGCTTACATCCCAAGAAGAACCGCAAACCAGGTTAGAGAAATCATCAAGCGTGTGTTTTAGAGAGGTCAGCGGAGCTCGTGTGTTTTAGAGAGGTCAGCGGAGCAATGCTAAGCTAATCCAAGAGCTCCAGCTTTAGCTTTCCTGTGTCAGTCCTTTACTCCTGCAGGGTTGTGTACGTGCTCGAGTGTCTCTGCTTCTCCTTCCTCGAGTGTGTTTGTCAGTGAGACGCTGTGGCATCGTCTGGTAATGAAAAGCTCGAGGAGTTCGGTGACTTCAGTAACTCACTTTAAGAGATTACTCTGTCTCCAAATTAAGTTATGGTTTGCTAACACTCTTCTGCCAATACATTTGTTTGTTTTTTACACCCAAGTCCTCTTTAAAAGAACCAAACTCAAACACTTAATTTCAATAATCACAGTGGACTTTATCATCCTGCTAACTATGAGTGACTGCAACTACATGTCAACTAACTCTCATTAGAGCATCAGTAGACCATTAGTGTTCGGGTTAGGAGAATAAGTCGACATGTAGTTGCAAAGTTACTTATAATCAGTAGAATATCTGTTGGGGAGCATCACAATGAAGAGTTAGCCGATATTAAGCAGTCTAATGAGAGTTAGTTGACATGAAGATGAACAGAATGAATGAACCATCGAAATAAAGTGCTAATAAAGAGTCTTTCACACTGTCCCTTAACCTCAAATGAATTCTAAACACATTTTTTCTTGGTTAGATTATTGTAATATAATAATAATTTTATTGTTATTGTTATTTTGAAGATTTTTTATACAATAGTAATATATTTCTGCAGGGTTTTTTTTGTTGTTGTTGTTTTTCTTCACGTTCACTGCTTTGATAGAAGGTCTGGTTGACTGAAAACTGAAGACTTTTGAGATTGACCTACATTTACTATTGACTTGAAGTACCACCTTAAAGTTGATATTTCTATAATTTAACAACAAATAATATTTTAAAATTTTTTAGTTTAAATTGTCTTTTTATTAAAAAAAATATTTATTTTAATGAAAATCATTAAATGTATTTATTTGCACTGGTAGAAGGTCCGGTTAAGGTTTTAACTTACCGTAGTATTTCAATAATGTAACAAAAAATAAAATAAAACGACAAATAAAATATAATTTATTTTTAAAGTTTTGTTTAATTTTTACTGTTTTTATTTTAAAATTATTAACTTTATTTAAAATGTAAAAATTCATTCTAATTACTAAATTATTAGTAATTAGGGTCACTGCTTTCACACAGACTTGATTATTGATTATTTTAAATCAAACTCAAGCATAATTTTTTTTTAGTTTAATGGCATTATGAATGCAAGTATAAACTGATGAATGCATGCGAGGCCAGTCCAGTAACGCGGAGTGTGTGTGTGTGTGTGCAGCCCACAGCAGTGACAGCGAGGACCAGTGTATCAGCGAGAGCAAGAGCTCGAGCCGGACCCCCCCCTCAGCCCACCGGTACCAGAAACACGGAGAGCCGGAGCATTCCCACAGCCGGGAACATCACGCCAGGACCAGGTGGACCTTCCAGATGTGTAAGTGCCAGGATTCCTCATAGTCTTCTTAACCCGTCTGATGATGAGAAACCAATGTCTGACGTCGGTTCCCTTTCGCCCCTGTTGATCCAGCGGACCTGGAGAAGATGAGCAGTCTAGAGCGGATCGCTTTCCTTCAGGAAAAACTGCAGGACATCAGGAATCACTACCTCTCGCTGAAGTCTGAGGTGGCCTCCATCGACCGGAGACGCAAGCGCATGAAGAAGAAGGAGAGAGAGAGTGAGTGCTGGAGTTTGGGGGAACCCGTTATTCTAGGATTATGTGTATACTTTTATAGTATTTATTCAAATGATTGCTTAGCTGTTTATTTTATATCATAATTAATTTATAAATAGTCATTTTGTTATGTGCTTTATTTTTTATTTCAGTGTTAGTTTTAGTAATTTCAGAACATGAACTTAAAATGATTTTTAGTTAGTTGCCAAGGCAACTTTTTTATGTTATATATGTAAAATAATAATAATATAACATATAATAAAATAATATATGAAACAAGTTTTTCATATAATCTTTTTATAATTATTATAATAAATTATTTTATTTCATCTGAAAATATTTTAAATAGTTTAGGTTTTAGTAATGTTGCTATGAGCTTGTGTTCATTTTATTTTATTTTGTATTTCTATTTTTTAGTTTAAATAAAAAAAATAGTGATTCAAGTTTTTATTTGAGATCAGTATGAATTACAAAAACAAGAGTAACTGCAAAAATACAGTTTTAGTCATTTAAGTACTTCAACATATTTATAACAACTTAAGATTTTTAAGTTCAGGTTGTTTTTTTTACACAATATATATATATTTTTTTATATATATATATATTCTTTGATAAAATGAGTTCTCTGATTGCAGTCCTTGGAAAAAAAAACAAAAAAAGTAGTGCTTGAAAATGTCATTTTACAGTATCTGTACGAACCCTGTTTCCTGCTATCACGCTTTTTGCCAGTCCAAAGTTAGCCGTTTTTGAGGCTAGTTCACTCGTTTAGAAAGTCATCTGATTCCCTCGTGTGTCATGAACTAACCCATGAACTCTTGTGTCCCAGCAGGCGCAGCAGTGGCCTCTTCCTCCTCGTCCTCATCCTCCCCGTCCTCCAGCTCTCTGACGGCAGCTGTCATGCTAACGCTAGCCGAGCCGACGGTCTCCGGCGCGTCTCAAACCTCGGGGGTGTCTGTGGAGTGCAGGTGACAGGAATGACACGGCGTCGAGCAGCACAGAGCACTTAACCAGCACCCGGCTCGACCTCTGACCCCTGCACTAGTGGACGGACACACACTGACAAACGGGGCACAAGTATGATGAAACAATAGCCACCAGATACAGCAACAAGCACTATTTTATATCGACAACTGTTTCCTTGGCAAGCTAATTGCACTCAAGTGCACTTTTTCCTGAAAGTTGGGTCGAGTTTGACGATAAGACTATTTCTGTTTGTTTGTTTTACAAACCATCTCCACTATGTCCATGAATATTTGATCCTGAATCTGAATTCCAGCACGTTCAGTTTCACCCACAGTGAATCGTCCGAGGCGTTTGAGACGAGCAGAGTCACTGACGCCGTTACGCTGGTCACGCGTGAGGGATGCTGGGAAACGGCCAGCGCTGGGTCGATGTGTGTTTCATCACGCCTCCAGAAGAGTTCAGCTGTGAGATTCTCACTCGCTCACTGGAAAGAGAATGTCTCGTTTATTTTTAATCAGAACATGGCAAGAGCATCAAATCAGTCCAGGTCATATTTCACCCTAAAACCAAAAGGGGGGCGAATGTGTGTGTGTGTGTGTGTGTGTGTGTGTGTGTATATATATATATATTGCTCAAAGAAAATAAAGCCATAAATAAGTAAAGTACTGCATTTTTTCCCCGGTTGGAAATTTTATAATTTTAAATTTTAAACCCCGGTTTTAATTTTTATACATATTTATTTATATATATATATGTGTGTGTGTGTATATATAATAACTGTATTACAGTACTGAGAATCTCCATTGACAATTAATTAAATTAATTATAATTTCAGTGAAAGAAAAACTTAATGGTCCTAAATAAAGGTTTCATTAGGCAAGTGATTTTTTTTAAATATGTATCAAATATGTAATTCACTATATTACATTAATGAGAATCATCATTGAGAATAGAAATAATTATTTATTTAAATAATTCTCTATTAATAATTTTACAATGAAAAAAATCTTAATGGCCCTATAAAAAGGTTTCATTATGCAATATTTTTAGTGTTTTATATATAATTATGTATTAAATATATAATCAAAATACTGTATTACAGTATGTAATGAGAATTGTATACTGTATATAAGTAAACTAAATCTAGCAAAATGATGCTAGAAGATATTTTGATTTATATATATATATAATATGTTGAAACCTATTTTTAGTAGTTTTTCAATTAGATATATAATGTTAAAAATGTATTGCAGTAATGACATCTGATAATAATGAGAATTGTATATTTAATAAATAATTATATATAAATTAATTTAACAGTTGGGTAAAAAAATTGTTCTAAAAAAGTCCATTGAGAGATGTTTTATATACAGTATATAACAATGAAACATTTCACAATAAAAAGAAATCTTGCATCATGAAACCTATTTTTAGTAGGGTTTTTATCATTAAAACTAATGTATTACAGTATCAGCATTGAAAATGATAATAAATAATTACATATCAATCAATTTCCCAATTGGAAAAAAGTCTTTATATGGATTTATATATACATACTGTTATATATATATGTATATACTTTTTTATATGGTTTTAGGGTGAAATGCGACTCGTTTTGCTTGTCTGTTCAGACGACACCTTATGAATGTTAAACCCCCAATTTGTCCAATGTTTTTTTTTTTTTATGATCTCAGAAATGCTCATTAAAGCTCCATGGATCATCCCTTCATCTCCCCGTCCCCCGCTCGATCCTCCTCATGCGTTCAGTGTGTGTGTCCCGTCGACAGAGCCGAGTGAGTCGGGCTAAGGGCTATCGAGCCGCGCGCTCGCGATGGAGAATTTGCGTTCAGTATCTCTGGAGGTGAAATGTATTATGATTGTTGACAATTTGAGAATTGAAGACTTTTTCTGGCAGCCAGGATTCTAAATGTATTTTACTACTGAGATCGACCCAGACCCTGTGGGTGGGGTTTTAATGGTTAATGTGGCAGTATTCAGAAGTGCAATGGCAGATTCATCTGGAATCATGTGCAATGACAGATGCCGATCTGTCCTGTGCGTCGCCTTTGTGTGTTTGTGTCTTCCTTTTCTCCATTTCCCACCTCCTTTTGCAATGCCATACAGGTGAAACTCGAAAAATTTGAATATGGTGCAAAAGTTCATTTATTGCAGTAATTCAACTTAAAAGCTGAAACTAATATATGATATAGACTCATTACATGCAAAGTGAGACATTTCAAGCCTTTATTTGTTATATTTGTGATGATTATGGCTTATGAAAACCTTTTCACAATATTCTAATTTTGAATTTGGGGTTTTCATAAGCTAAACCATAATCATCACAATTATAACAAATAAAGGCTTGAAATATCTCACTTTGCGTGTAATGAGTCTATATAATATATTAGTTTCACCTTTTAAGTTGAATTACTGAAATAAATGAACTTTTGCACGATATTCTCATTTTTCGAGTTTGGCCTGTACATGTAGGATGTCGAGTTGTAAAGCACTGTGGGAAACGGAAAACACGTGTTTGGTTGCGTATACTAGCAGTGAAGGGGTTGACCTGTGTTAGTTTAGCCAAAAATGAAAGTTGTTCCAAATGCATTTAATGTTATTTTCCCGTGCAACACAAAACCAGACGTTTCTTTTTCATGCGACAACAGTTCACCAACAACAGTCGACACTAATTTCAGTCGAATCGACACGATTTCAGAAGCACATTTGTCATGTAAACGGATGCTTGACTGAATATGCATGAATGTGCTTTAACAATGGCTGCAGGGAAAAATAGCGGCATGGTTTGCAATGAGTGAACGTGAATTATTCCTTTAGAAGTACTAAGGAACATCATCACTTCCCTTCATTTATCACTCTCTGTACTGTCATCCTTCATCTGATCTGATCAGGCGAAGGGTTACGGTGGTGAAGTCGTATGTATGTATGTATGTACAATGCTGAAGACATCTTTCCTTTGTATAGACTCCCTGTTGTATCATAACCTGAAGGACTGTACCGTTTGGCACTTGTATGTAATTGTATGCCTTTGTTATACATTTGTATATTGAGAAGTGTGTTTTGAGTCGAGCTAATTAATATCTTGCACTGTTAATACCATGTACGTTTCTGTACAGTTTTACTGTTTTAACTGTAGCGTCTGTGTGCATTTGGAAGGTAAAGCATGTCCATTTTCTTATTCGTTCTTTTGCGTTTCGTTCTTTCACTTCGGGAGGAGTTTGTTCCGATTCAGTTTCTCACTTTTACGTTTCCTTCTCGTCTGTGTATTTCCGTTCAACTGTGCTTGTACTAGGCTTTTTTTTTATATATATATATATAACGTGGTATTTTCCAATCTGTACATGAAGTGTAAAGTTTTATGGATCTTTGCAAAAATGTTCAGAGACCGTTTGTGAACGAGAGAGCGAGAGAGAGAGAGAGAAAGCTTAACGGAAAGTTCTATCATATTTATTAAGCTCATCAGAAGATGGACAGTGTGTAATTTATTGTACAAATGTAAGCAGAAAAGCCTTTGAAATAAATGCCATAGTTTGTGACTCTAATGTCCACTTCACTGTATATCAGAGATGATTGATGATGCATTATAGATTTGATCTGGTGTGTTTTTAATGGAAGCTTGTTTCCGCCGCAGAATAAAAAAGGTAAATTTGACTTTTTATCTCACAATTCTGAGGGAACAAAAAGTACAGTAATTGCGAGTTTATAGCTCAAAAAGTCACAATTTTCTTTTTATTCTGGGGTGGAACGCAGCTTCTATAGAGGGAATGCAGTGACGTCACTCTCCCGCCGGACGGAGTGGCAGAAGAGCTGCCGAGTGACTGGATTTAACAGGAGAAACGAGAAAACGCCGGTGAAACTAACGATTATCAGTTTTTAAACTAAAGGTTGGTTCACTCGATACATGCCTGTCAACACTCCCGTATTTCACACCCATCTCCCGCAGAATTATTCTGCAGAATATACAATGGTAAATATTTAATTGATGAGTTACAATATATAGTGTATGATTGATTTTACCCCTAAATTCAGCATATTGACACTAAATAACTGCAAATCCACCTTTCTCTGCCTGGATCCAGTTGTTTCTGTGAATTGCAGCGATCCATTTGCTTTTAGTTTCTGTAGCTTTCAGCAGTCTGTAAAAATATACCTCAGATTTCTTGTCAAATCTATTTATACAGTCAATCTCAAAGCTCTTTCCCGTTTTAGATGTGTTTTGTGTTTTTCGTGGCATTCGCTCTGAAAACCAATGAAATTATTATCATTCTGTTCCAAATCAGTCAAATCATGTGACGTGACTGTCATAATAAACAGTCCCCTGCCTGATGTGCTAAAAAAATATATATATATGCAAATGAGCCCCGCCTCCACTCACTCCCTTAGCTCAGAGATCCACTGGTTGACGATCACACGTTGATCTGATTGGTTACAAGGTCGTTTGTGACGTCAGAAACACCAGCGATTTCAAACCGTGTTTTTGAGACTGTCTTTGGTTCACTGCAGTTTTAAGCAGAAAATACTCAGCAATGCTGTCGACTTATGAACTTACACATGGTGTGTCTTAAAGCGTATTAAAAACACCACATAGATGTATAAACAGCATTAAAAACTTGATTTTCACCGCAGGGAAAGTTTAAACAAAGTTGGTTATTTCTTAAGTGAACATAAACGGTTGGGAAAGTAATCGAATGCTTGTCAGTATATCTGTGCATTTGGTCTTAAAGTGACAGCAACCTAATAAATCTGCTCTCTGTCTTTTAATGTTAAGTCAATTTTATTTATATAGCACATTTAAACATAGCAGAACTATCCAAAGTGCTGAACAAAGTAAAGATAACATCAAGTAAAACAGACAAAAACAGAAGCTAGATAATATTGACATGGAAATCACATATTGATAAGATCAAAGTAAAGGAATCCCAAATAATAGGTGTGCTGCATAAAGTTAAAATAAGAATGCATTGTTTTTGTTGTATAACTCATTGATTGTTCCATATCTGGGGCCCGTTCTTCGTACGTCGCTAACTCAGTTAGCTGGATTTGATTGTTGGCGATTTGGCATGATCTTGGATCGTTTGGTTCTTCGAAGCTCATCCTGGACTTGCTGTCATAGCAACAGGTGCGCAAGCTTGAACCTGCTCGGGAGCAGGCTTATTTCAGGTTAACAGGATTAGATCGCGGCTTTATAAGCGGAGGTGATACGGGAAGTCTTTTAGCGCAGCGGGAATGTGTACTTTTTGAGAGATATAATTTTTCTCATGACTCGTGAGGATGTCGTTTACATCATTAATTTGTTGGAAACGCATAAATG